GTGTGTGTGAGTGTGTGAGTGTGTGTGAGTGTGTGTGTGAGTGTGTATGAGTGTGTGAGTGTGTGTGAGTGTGTATGTGTGTGAGTGTGTGTGAGTGTGTGTGTGTGAGTGTGTGTGAGTGTGTATGAGTGTGTGTGAGTCTGTGTGAGTGTGTGTGAGAGTGTGTGAGTGTGTGTGAGTGTGTGTGTGTGAGTGTGTGTGTGTGAGTGTGCAGTGATGACCATGTCAATTAGCATGACTTATCATTTCACACAGTACACAAAGATCAACGCCTCAGATCGACTGGTTGAATATCACTATTTTTATTAATCATAATTTAATAGAACCAGGAACTAGTTCTCTGGTCTCTGTGGGGGTGTATACATACAAATGCAAGTGCCCACAGGGATCTCAGATCCCCCTGGAGCTAGGGTGACAGGCTAATGTAGGCTGTCTAATGTCACTGCTGGGAATGCACTCAGGTCCTCAGGAAGAGCAGGACGTGTTCTTAATCACTGAGCCATCTCTCCAGTCCAACATGTTCCTTGGAGATATCCCTAAGCATACTGCAGAATTTTACCATACTCATTGTCTTAGGGGTCCCAAAACTAGTGAACATTTCTACCCAGAGGGAAGAAGTTAAATTTTAAAAAGCTAAGACTATTGCTACCAAACCTGCTTTCTGGTTCCAGCTTCAGATGTAGCCAAGCTGTTAGCTTTGACCTGGGTTTCCTTTCCATAAAACAAAGGGCAAAGGATAAATTCTAAAGCTCCCCCTAGGTTTACTATTCTATAATGAAGCCTACCTTGATATTCCATGGGATTATAAGAAATGAAGTCCCGTGTTTGCTGTAAACCTGATCTGCTCGATGCACAAGGTCCCCATGAGCACATTCATCACAAGTTAAAGCGGTAGGGAGCTTGAACGACTTTAAGATGGTCTGCTTTATAGAATAGTGCTTCAAGGTGTTGTGGGCACCACTGTGCTAGTGGATTGGATGCCTAAAGGACTTACCAAGGAATTTCTGGGCAAGAATGAGGAATTTCTGTGAATGTCCCAGGCACTTAAATGATTACTGACTTGATTATTGATGAGCTACCTGGATATTTCATGCCTTTGCTTGAAATTAGATTCTAATTCATTACTTACTACAAAACATGAGCACAGATTAATCATGCCAATAACTTTGAAATGTACTGCCCATCATAAGTCCATATGACTTTAATATGACCAAATTAAAAATAATTTAATGATAAAGGCTGTTTTTTAATTGTAAAAGAAACATATGCCCTATGAAATTTATGTTTTATATATAAGTGGTATGATTACAGTAGAGAGAAATACAGAACACAGAATATATAAATCATGATTTCCTCATTGTTAACATTTTGGCATATTGTTCCAGGGGTTTTCTTTTCTCTGTCTCTATTTTAACTGTCAAAATAGTTGTTAAGGTTGGAGCCCCGCACGTCACAGCTAATGTAGCCGCCTTCTGCACATGGTTTGTAATAAATGCTTTTCCTTTCCCAACTGTTGGGACATTTCCAACATTTTCTTTTTTTCCTGGTTGTCATTAGAAATGCTCTAATGAGAATCTCTACATAAATCTTTGTCTATATCAAAGATTCTAACTTGGGATGTATTCCTAGGAGGGTAGTTTCTGTGTCAGAGAAGATCATTTTCAAGGCTCTTGAAACCTATTATCAAATTGCTTTCCTGTATGGCTCCGGCTGCACCAACAGAGCAGAGAAATTTACTACCCCCAATTCTCCACCAGGATTAAGTGTAATTTTCTGTTCCATACACAGGGACATAACACAGAAAAACAATCTCTCATCTTTTAGTCTGTATTTTGAGTCATTAATTCAATATTGTTTCAAGCTTATCCTTTGCGTTTTCTTTATTTATGGATTATCTGTACGGTCAGCTTTTTTTTTTTAAATTGAACGTAAAAGCAATTACACCTTAGGTACCTTAACTGTAGTTAGTTTGCTATTGCACCAGAGAAGAAGCGAGAGCAGAAAGCAGCAGAACTTTTAAAATTAGAAAACATAATTTTAATATTTAATTTCCTTGAAATTCCAAGAGCTACTAAAAGAAAGATGGAAAGGTTTAGGATGTTCACAGTGGAACACCGAGGGGCGTTGCGTCATGGTTGCATTACAGCTTTGCATTCTTGCCTCAATATTCTCCAGGTTTGTAGACACTAATAGTCTCAGCGGGTAGGTAATTAAAACTACCACTGGAAAAGACCTGGCTTGCAGAGTTGTCTGATGTTTTACATAGGCATGAGGTCTGCCTTTTAGTGCTCTGCCAGGCTGCCAGGAAAATGAATGCAAGATTGATTTTCCTCCTACCCAAGTTCAACATTTACCACTCTCTTTTTGTTTGTGAGTGTAAGGACCGATGCATGTTCGCAATTGTGCCTGTGTGTACCGATGTGCCTGAAAACTGCATGTGCCGGTGTCAGAGGTTGATATCCAAAGCCTCCACTTTATTTTTGAGACAGGGTCTCTCACTGAACCAGGAGCTCAGTGATTGGCTCGGCTGCTTGGCCAATGAGCTCCAGAGATCTTTCTTTCTCTGCCTCCAACCCAAGTGCTGGTGTTAGAGGTACAAACCCCTGCACCAGACTTTTTCTTGGATGCTCAAGATCCAAACTCAGGTCCGCACGGTTTATGCAGCTGGCTTTTTAGTCCTGAGCCGGCTCACCAGCATCATAGTGTATGTGCCACATTCAATGTAGCAAGAGACTCCTTCCAAATGGGAAAGGAAAACTTGCCCCGGGGTTCCACCACATCTGCAGGCTGTGCTAAATAGCCCTCCGCTGGAGGACAGGATTAGAAGGCGCTTTAATTAACAAGCCCATATACTGCAAGGAAAACCGGGGGGCGGGGGAGGGCTTGTGTGTGTGTGGACAATAATAACCTTGTTACCCTGTGTTGGTAAGCTGAGACAGCACGCATGTGTTCACTCATCCTGGAGGGTCTTGGGTGACTAAACAAGTATTGAGGTGGTCTTTCTGAAATATTTATGGTTCTAATGACACCAAGACTTACAAAGACTTCCCAGTGACCCACAGGCCCACATGGGTAGAATTTATCTTCCCCGAAAAACTTACACTCAAATTGATTTCACTTTATGCTTTCAAAGTTACCTTTTATTTGTTTATTCATTTATTTGGAATGTGCTTAGTACATCTTTTACAAAATATTCCTAGATTCTGGCTATTTATTTTTGCATACAAGATGAAAGCATGGTCTTTATACAGAATTAAATGGCACAGAAACTACTAGTAAAAAAAAAAAAAAAAAAAACACCTCCAGGACACCCACACACACCCAAACCCCAGAAGTAAATAACACCTAAAAAAATGTCACCCTTCACATTTCTTGGCTACATTTTCTGCTCTCACCCAGTTCTTCATGTTTCTGTTCTTTCATGGCCAAGCAGGCGACTGTCCTCACCTCAGCTAGTGCCAAGAGCCAAAGAAGAGGCTAACATGATAGTTGTATCATTGGTACAGATTACCTGGTTCTTGGTGTGTTTGGAATGCTGTAGCCAACTGTCATAGGAACCTAATCTGCAGGCCTTCTGGAGGCTGGCAAGACCAAGATAAAGACACCAACAGTTGACATCCCCTGATAGGATGGAAGGGACAAACCAGCTTTTGGATTTCTCTTTTACAAAGGCCCTAATGCCATTTGTTTAAATGTTTTTACTTATGTATATGATACGTGTGTGTGTGTGTGTGTGTGTGTGTGTGTATGACTTGTATGTGAGAAAGCTTGTCCATGCCACAGTGCACGTGTAGAGGCTAGGAACACTTTAGAGATAGGTCTTTGCCTTCCACCTTGCTTGAGACAGAGGTTCTTTGTTGCATGCCAGTGATAACCCCAGGATAACTGGACTTTGAGCTTCTGGGGGAGTCTCCTGTTTCCTCCCATCTCACCATAGAAGCAAAAATGTATGTATATGTGTGTGTTCATGTATATTTACATATATATATATGTATATATATATATGTTGAAATAAGTGATAAAGCACTATAAATAGTATGAGCATGATCAAATGTTTAAAGTGCCTATACAAATGCATGTAAATATACATACAGAAAACACGTGTGTTCATCCATTTCTCCTATATTGCTTTTTGCATTCCTCTAGAAGAATCGTGCATCATTTTTGCAATAAGAAAAACTGCCAATGGTTTTTTTTTGGTTTTGAAGCACAAAGCTCAGAATTATTCTATACACTTGAACAGGAACCTAGAAATGTAGCTTTAGATTCTTCAGCCCACCAATTTACTGGTTACTGGATCTGTGAAGGCAGACAGGGTCTAAATCCTACTGTTTGAGGGCCTGGCTCTGATTCTGAAGCACGGGCAGCACCAGAGCTACTCGCTGCACCAGGGGTCCATCCTCAGACTCTGAGAGGTTTCCCTTCTCCCCAGTGCTTCCCCGGGCCTTCCTTTCCAATACAGCCTCTGCTGAGGTTGTTTATAGATCCCATCCACTCAGCTTCCCTACAGTCATTCTTACACATGCGTGCTCATGTGTGTGTCTGTGTGTGTGCACATGAGTGTACATATGCATGTGTGTGTGCGTGTATGTGTGTATTTCTACGGGCACTGGCAAATTGGACACTTGGAAGCCCATTGTGAAACTTAGGAAACGTCACAAGCAAGGCATGGGTGTTCATCCTACATGCACATTTTCATTCCTGGGACCAGGCTCACACTCCCTCCTTTGGGAAAGGAGCAGCAGACACAGTGTTTTGAAATGAGAAGGTAACAGACACGGCAGGTACCAAGGCGGTTTTCTGAAAAGACCCTTCAGCGGAGGCTAAGACACTCTATGGACTGGACCTCTCATTTCCCTTAGTATATGAAAAGATTCATTCCATCAGTGAAAACACCTCACACATAACGACTGCAAATATGAGTGCAGCTATAAAGAAAACATTGGTTAGGGAAAGTGATATTAACTAGACTAATTCTGCCTTTTCTTTTCCTCACCTAGTTTTGCTGGTGACTGGAATACATTCAAATAAAGAAACGGCAAAGAAGATTAAAAGGCCCAAACTCAGTAAGTAAAATCCAAATCCCTTTCTGGCACAAGGCTATGACCCCAAGTGGAGAGCGGTCCCACTTACATTAAAGGAAGTGGATGGCGGTATTTGGGCTTGGCCAGGGTTTTTGCTTCTGTGTCAGTTGCTTTACATTTAAATGGTGATATACCATATTTATTACCGACCTCAATCCATAAAACATTTGATATGAGTCCTAATTTTAAAGTAAAAGAAATGTGGCTCCTCTCACAGGAAAACTCCAAATTTACACATAGAACCAGGCAACTGGCTTGCTATGGCTGGTGTCTCAATTCTCTATGTCAGAAGATGGCTAGTGCAAAAGTCCATCAGGGCTTCCTGTTTCCCAGCATGCTTGTCAGAGAGACAGAAAGACCAGGGAAGAAGGAAGAATCCCTTGCCCTCACACCCAACATGGACCTGGTCTACATTTCTCACTGGCTGCAATTTCAGCTGATAAAACCAAATCATTGTATGATTGCATGCAGAACTCCAATGTCTGTGTGTGGATGTTGTGTGTCCATCCACCTTACATCCCAGCTGCCATCGCTTTGATAAACAGACGATCGTGTGGTTTGCAAGTCTTTAGAGCTGGTTTGTAGAAGTAATGTTGAAGAGTTTGAAGCCGTGAACCAGAGGAGAGCTATCGTGCTGTAAGCATAACTTAACAGGATACTCTTGTGGGAGTCTGTAAGATCAGTATGCTGAGGAAAAATATGCATAGTGGAGTCCCAGCTCTTCACAGGGGAATAAGATACTCAGTGGAGAACAGAGACAGAGGTCCTTCACGCATTCCAAGAACTTGAATAAGGGCCAAATGTGAAAGTGATGAAGCAATTTGTTTGGGCAGAAGAAATTTCAAAACAAGACAGTATCAGATAGCATCAGGGTTACTGCTCGATGCTCGTCCCAGTCTGCACTGAGAGAGCAACACGTTAAAGAGAAAGACCCGGAAACCGTGCAGTTTGCCAGGAAGAGGAACCTGAGTGGACAGAAGTTGCAGATATGCAGCTGTAATTGGGAGAGAAGCACTGTGGAGTGGAAACCTCTTGCCCTGCAACCCCACTTAGCAATGTCTTCAGCCTGTTAAAACAAAAATTCATCAGAAAAGACTACTCCTAAACTAGGAATGTCTCTGAAAGCCCTCCCTGCTCCAGTGACTAGGAAAAGTAGTATTTTGTTTGTTTTTGTTTGGGTTTTCTTTTTCTCATTGAGACAGCAAGGCACACAGAGGCTACTATAGCTGTGAGAGGGTTGGGTGGATAGCATCTCTAGCAGGCGGTAAACCTTGGCAACATTGTTCACATGCTGCTGCTGGTTTTGCAAGTAAGTAAAATACAGGAGTGAAGGCTGTGCGGGGTAAATTCCTGGGCCCAGGCAATGTGGCAGGGTTGGAATTCCTACCAAGGCAGCCCTAAAAAGCCATTGCCTGAGATTGGGAATGTGATGCCCAAGTTGCAGTGAAGACCCCAGGATGTTGGGGATCCCAAGATCATGGGACATCTGCCAAGAGAAGCTACGGGCATGGAGTAGGGTTGGCATGTGGTGCACGTGCTGCAAGAGCAGAGCTGGAGGAGAGAGGCGACCTGTGGAGGCCAGATGATTCCATCACTAAAGAGACCCGACGTAGAGCCAAAGAATTTGGTCCTGGTATTCCTTGTAATGCCTCCTCCGTCCTTCTCTTCTGGAATGGGAAATCTTATTCTGAGCCATTATATTTGAAAAGCGTCTAACTTGATTTTGACTTTACAATGGCTCACAGTTAAAAGATTACCATGGATCTCATAAGAAACTGGACTATTGGAAGTGTGAAGAGTTATAAGGACTTTTAAACTTGGACTAAGTATAGTTTGTGTTATGAGATGGCCATGAGTGTAGGGGGCCAAGGGGAAGAATGTTTGGATTGAATGTAAATGTCTCCCATGGGCTAGCATGCTGGAATTCTTCATACTCAGTGTTGGTGCGATTTTGGAAGGTTCTGGAATCTTTAGGTGATAGACACTCTCAGGGGAACTGGGGGACTTGCAAGAAGCCTTGAGAGTTTGTGTGTGTGTGTGTGTGTGTGTGTGTGTGTGTGTGTGTGTGTGTGTGTATGTGTATGTGTGTGTGTGTGTGTGTGAAAGACAGAGACAGAGACACAGAGACAGAGAGACAGAGAGATACAGAGGGAGACAGAGAGCGACAGAGACAGAGAGGCTCTGGTACCACAGTCTCTCTGTCCTCAGCTTTCCATCTATAGACACAGTTTAATCAGCTACCTCACACTCCTTTCCCAGATATCCTGGACTGTACACTCTCAAACTGTAAGCCAAAATAAATGCTCTTCACTGTTGGTGGGACTGGGGTGGGGTGGGAGATGGATTGCTTACTTAGAAACAATGTTCCTCTTCCCCAAAAAATACATCAAAGAAGTATTTAAACAGCTAATGAACAGTGCTTAAGGCTAAAGCCTATAGGACCTTTCATCCATAAAACTGAACAATGTGAATCACTCCTTCCAAAAAAACTTACAGTTTCATTTGCAAAAGGAAATTCATGAAGGTAAGAGAAGTAAACAAATTAATGGATTCTAACATAACTTTTAGGCTTTGCTTAATCTTTGAACTTGTTTGTAAATTACACATTTTAAACAATCTAACGTCAAAAGAAATAAGATTGTTAACTACAGATAGCATACAAACTACTGTTAAGGCACTTAAGAGGGACTCTGCCCTAAATGAGACTCTTGAATGTGCACTGTCTTCTTAATAAACCCCAACTTCGATTCATACTGACTCCTCATGAAGCTCTTTTCTATGGTGAAGATCAAGATTTGGCTGTATCTGAGTGGAAGTCCCTAGAAAGAACTCAGCAGGCTGTACAGGCAGCAGGACTGGGGCATTCCCCAGCCCCACTGAAGCTCTGGGTTCAGGAGGTAAATCACAGAAATGCCTGGAGAATATCACACTCACACATTGAAAAGGAAATTTTATTTTGGGCATATCAATTAAGATCAGCTGGAAAAATCCAAAATTTACATGAAACTGAATCTCTTTCCCTTTAGTAAAATCAAGCTGTAATTTGATGGAAGCTCCAGAATTTTGGATTATACTTCTGCCATTTTTGATGTGGCTCCCAATGGTCCAAAATGGCTGCCTTGCCTTCATTGCATTCCGATCAACAAGGAATGAAGAAGGCTCATACTAGTTCTCTTCTCTCTCTCTCTCTCTCCTACACACACACACACACACACACACACACACACACACACACACACTATCCAGAAAGTTAAATAGAATACCTCTACTTAAGTGCCACTAGGGTCAGTAAGGAACAGAGAAAATGTCTTAATTGCCAGCACACAAGCTCTTTACTGAAGGCAAGGGATTCTCTTCCTGGGAGGAGGGAAGGACACGGTGGATGTTGGGAAATAGCTAGCACAGCAGGACACAGATGGGGAATGGTGCACTGTGAGCCCACTGGGATCTCTGGACCCAGAAATGAAGGCATGATGGACGTTTATAAGAGACCATAAAACAAAGGCTTTAGACAGAGTCCATGTTCTGTGCTTTCCCCAGCAGAAGCTTTCCTTACAGGCATTAAATTTAAGTGCATTGAAATCAGTGACATTTATAATTTGAAAGGAAAGAAAGAAATTTGCTTCATACAGCCACACCTTTCTAGGTTTTCTCAAAAGCTACCATGTGGGAATTCCAGCTGAAATGAGACCAAAAGAGCATCCATCCACAGACTCTTAGGTTACAATACTAAAAAGGAGTCAGGCGTTTATTTATCCCTGTTAGGACCAAGAGCCAAGAGGAACAGGATTGGGGCAGAAGCATGTTCAAAACAGTGATTGGGTTAATATGGAGACAAATGCACACCCAAGTGTGGATTCCTTTGGGCTATTTCCAGTATCTTCATTAACTCTGATACAAAAATCATGAAAGGCTCCATGATTGCCATGACAACAGTTCTCAGTGACTATGAAAGTCTGCGCTAGTTGACCCAAGGGCAAGCCCCCTGGAGAGATCTCAGATGGATTGAATTTCTGATACGCTAAATTCTAGTTTTGTTCTCAAAATCTCCCTCGTGATGCAGCACATTTGAATCAATAAATGCCTGAAGTATTTTCTCTAATTAGAAACTCTAGCACAATCATTAAATAAGGGAGGAAAAAGATGCAATGGATGTAATAGAATATTCCCAAGCCAGGGACATATCTGATTCTTGACCTCAGGAGTATTTGAAAATTATAGTCTATAGCTGGAGGACAGAGTAATTTTCATTTTTCCAATTGTTGTCTGCAGCTGGACTAGGTAACTTATGGCAGGGAAGGCCCAGCATTCAAGTATCCAGCAAGGAAATTACCAGGGGCCAGCTAAGCACCAAGCCTGGTGTTAGATACCCAGAGACAACTGGACTCAAGACACACTCTTTACCTCTGCAGAGTTCACAACCCAAGCAGGAAGATAAGTGAAAGGCAAGCCTACCACACCTTAGAGTGCTGAGACTATGAAGGACAGACTGTGTACAGAAGAATGATGGTCCTACTCTGATAAAATCCAAGAGGGTGTGGTATTACAAACAGGGTCAGAGGACATGCTCAAGACAGGAAGATTAAAAAGAGCTTTAAAAGTTGGCCAAACGTAGCAATGCATGCTTATATCCCCAGCCCTTTGGAAACTGAGGCAGATGAATCATGAGTTCACAGCTAATCAGAACTACATAACAAGATCCCATCCCAGTCCCCCAAAATTTTTAAAAGAAAACATTCAGTTTGGCTGAAAAATTCAGAGTGAATTAAAGGTGTTCAGGTGGATGGCGGAGAATTGGCCGTAGTGAACGGCAAAGGAAGGGCTTCACTACTGTGTGGAATCTGGACTTCATCATGAGGCAATGGGGAGTATCTTGGAGCAGGTTGTTTTGTTTGCAATTAGCAGAAATCCAAGCCCAATTTGTTTAAGTAGAAAAGAGGATTTGGACAGGACCTGGAGTAATTCACAGAAACCAAGGCAGG